TTAAAATCAACTGACTTGAGTAACTACTTGAATATAATAAAAATCGTATTGTCTTATCAACTACTTGAGTGCGATAAAAATGAACATAATTTTTTAATCAAATTTATACGTGTGACTTAATAATTGACACTACGAGAAAAGGAGATTTAAATTTCGTCTTTAGCCTTAAATATATTCCCAACTAAAATAAATTCTTGACAACGATATGGAAATATTGATTTATCGTCGAGCACGAACGTGTTTCTAACACGCATAGACGAAACAACACGACACGAAAATCAATATATAATGAAATGGGCAGAGAGACTGAAAAGGCAAATCAAAGATCGTTAAAAGATTACCTAGCAAGACCTTTGAAGAATTTCCCCATCGACATAAAATCCAACTGATCAGAACAATTAAATACGACACATTGTATGGCGAATGCTTTCGCGAGGTCCTTTGTGGTTTCCGTTTTACCAGTGCCTGCAGGACCAGCCGGTGCACCACCGAATTTCAAATGTAACGCTCCAGTTAATGTCAAATAGCATCGATCAGTCAAAGGGGTGATAACGAGTCTTCCGGTATTTCCCAAATATTCGTATCTTCGATAAATAGCAAAAATTATTAGATTGCAGATCTTTATGCAATTTCATTATTATTATTTTATTGTATTTTTATAAACAACACAGTTATTTATGCTACTAAATATTCGATATTTTATATATTTTTGTCTATTTTCTTGTATCCATAAATACATAAAAATCTATAGTCTAGTAATTAGAATTTGAGATAATGGAGAGTTTACATACTCATCTGCCTTTTAAACGAAATTTAAACGAAAAGGAAAAATTTTTTTATAGGCACTAATATAAGCATTGTCCATTTAAATTTAATTAACAGAGTAAAATTTATAAAATGTTTAAAATAAGTTCTTCTTCCTTTTTTATTAAATTTTCTGTTGTAATAAATTGATTGTATTTAATATTGTAGCATCTTAAATAGTATGGCACTAATAAATACCAATGTAAATGTAATAAATAAAGATTTAAGCAATCAACCGTGATATACACGTAATCATTAATACATCACGACATCGTTATAAAATGGAACACATGGCACAGTTCCATGGAAAATCAATATAACAGAAGTATGATTCAAAAATTTCAAAAAATCGTATTTTATATTTCCGGGAATTGTATTTGTTTTAGAGAACGAGAAAGAAAGAGAAAGAAAATTGAAAATATTTCAACATAGTGACGTACCCATACGGAAATTCTGCATTCACGGCACGCACTTTCAAGTCATCATTCATCCAGTAATACCGTAGCTGTGAGATCCAGTCAAAATCGTTTACGTTCGATACTTTTTCTTGCAACAATTTGTACAGCACGTCGCGCGCGTGCACCTCAATAGTAATTACTGCCTCCAACGTTAATCTCTGAATTTCGGTTTGTGGGTCTCGCACTAATTCACGTAAATCGTCCATCTGTGTGGTAAGTTTACATTAACACATTCAA